GCAGTCATCATCTTTATCTTTACAAACTTCTTTCTCTTATGACTATCAGAGGGAGAAGAAAAGTGTCTTTCTCTAATCATCTGCTTAAAGCAGCTACTTTCAAGATACTGATATTCACAAGAGACAATCTTACGGGAGAAACAGGAAACAAGGATATTATACTTGTCAAACCATACTTGTTGATGTTGCCTTTGAAACTTTTCACTCCACTGAAGATACATAAATTGATTTTGTGGTTGACTACCATACAACTTATAATAATACAAGGGAATGTAAGGGACATACTTAACGAGCTGGTAATTATGCCTGATTCGATGTTGAGACATGTTACATGAAATTTTGCATTCTAGTTTTTGACTAGTAGTAATATGCCTCTTCTTTGAATTTGATTGCTCACTAGTATGTATATCTTCGAAATTAACACCATTTTTTCCCTGATAATCTTGACCTTCATCACCATTCAAGACATTGGAGATTCTTCTTTGTTCCCTTGGAACACTTGAGCCTTCATTTTGAATATGGCCACAGTCTTTACAATTAAAACATTGAATTCCTCTACATCAATAAGAATAGTTGAGCTTTTGACTTTCTCCATCCTTTTTTTATGTTAAATTTTTTTGACACTGATAGTGAAATTATTCTCAGATCTCTTGTCAAGTATTCTCAAGATTTTACAAAATCTCTTCTTATGCCTAAGATATTCTTCAGAATAACATTCTGCTTAACCATCACAATCTCCATATTGTCAACAATCTTTGGAGGATTCTTAGCACCATGAAAAACCTTTAGTTGATAAACATCTCCTCCTTCATTGAAATTCTCCATTTTTAACATAATATATCTTCCTTGTGCTCACCCAACTGGCTATGGTGTCTGCTCTAATGCCAATTGAAATTTTGTTCCTTGGGGGAGATATGTCAAACCCGATGCCTTGGTCAACTGGTTCGACAAGTTAAACCAATGTGACAGCAATGAATAATTTCTTAGATATTATAATACGATGAATCAAAAAGGAATAAAGAGAACACCAAATATTGCTAACCTAGTTCGGCGCAAACAACACCTATGTTTGGAGGGTACTCTACCAAAAAAAATTCACTATTAGTAGTTTAGTACACTTAGTCTTACAAGCAACAGCAAGTCCATGTTATTCAATGCCTCTTCCTAACACTACCCAATGACTTTCTATTTAGAGAATCCCTCTAAATATGAGAACCTACTCACTTTCTTCTTAATCAAGCAAATCATGATTTGTGTTTGCAACTCAATAACAATGTTGAATATAACAACTCAACTAAGAAAAAAACCTTTTATTTCAAGTTACTAAAATATAGAGGTGTACATAAAGATTATGCATTAATCTGGTTATGGAAATAATGTACAATGCAAGAAACATATTATTCACAAGCTTATAGACTTAACATCTTGGAACAAGGTTTACAACTCAATAAAACCAAACTTTATGCCTTATGATATGAAATGAGACTGTAAAGTGGTGCACATACAAAGACTCAAAAGGAAAACTCTAACACTAGGTATCTTCAAAATATTAATGCTTTGCACACCTCAAAAGTGAGGTTTGAGTCTCCTTAAATAGCAATGCAATCATGGGCTTTTCTTTTTGGATTTCTTATTTAATTTCGTCTAGAATTTTTGCATAATCTATTGGATAAGATTTGATCCATAAATATCTTCAACTGAAATATATGATTTGTTATTAATTTTAATTCAAATTTAAATCTGATTTGATCTTCACAATTATCCGGTAAATCATATAATGATATTGCTACATAAAAAGCAATAAAATCTAGTTGGATCTTCAACAAAAAATTTGACCCAAATCTGACTTGTTGAGCAAGGCCCGAACGACGTACCCACATGTTGGAACATCATGTTCCACATGTTGCAATAGTACATCTAAATACATTTCTCTAAGTAACTTGTAGATCTTGTGAGGTAGAGAGAGTCTTGGACAGAGAACAAACTGCAATACTATTTGTATGTTGCAAGATATCAGATGTTGCATCTAATAATAACATTTGTCTTATTGACGGAGACCAAATGTCGTACCAAACATGTTGGAACATTGTGTTCCACATGTTACATCAGAGCATCCAAAATGACTCTTCTTCATATAAGTCTTCTTTGTAGAGTAGTTCTTGGACCAAATCTTTTTTGAAGGTACATTCAATCAAATCTTCTTTGACTGAAACAATTTCAAATCTTTTTCAGATGATTTTGGATTAACAACACAACCTTCTTCGCAGAATTAAAACTCTATATCATCTGAAGAAACTGACACCTCGCCACTTCTTAAGGACATTAGAAGACAATCAGAACATATTGCTTAACTAATTATGTCAAGCACTTTAGCCAAAGCAGCTCTTGTCACTAGTTTTGTCAAGCACTTTAGCCAACAACCCTTCTTGGAAACAAACTTAGATGTTTGACCACATGTTTTAACATCTTGTTCCACATGTTGCTTAAACTACATCTTATTCATGTGTTGTTTTACCAAATGCCGACAATCCAAAAAGAACAACGACTTTCTTAGGAAAGAGGAAGGAGAATATGTTTTATCACCGATCATATGCTTTAAATAATCGCTGTCAAGGTACCATTTATCATTTGAGACTATAAAGCATTCTTGCAATAAAAACTCGGGTCTTAACTTTAGATATCCATATCAGTTTGGATTCTTTATTGTTAGTTTCATAAATATTAGATTTTATTTTAGAAGCATTTGATGTGGCAAATATATTTTTCATTTTTCACTCACAATGTCTCTTATAAAAGTATGAAGAAGAATGTTCTCTTTTACTCTCATAACTTTTCTTAATAAATCAAAACATGGAAATATGATCTCTTTTTACTACAAAAGTTGCATTTTTAAGGCTGATTTAGCAATACAAATGTTGCTAAAGTTTTTACTATTGTTGTCGGGTTCGTAGTCAATATCGGCTTTGTTGTATGAGGCACTTTGATTTCCTAAAAAAAAGATTTAAGTTGTCTCTTCTATTGGTGAACTTGACAAGTGTTTTGTTTAATTACAAATTTCATATTTTAGAGTATCACTTGCACTTGACAAGTTCATCTTCTTCGTTAACAGATGAAGAGTTTTGGACTAGATCATTTTGTCTTTTTTTAGACATTTCTATTTCTTTCTCAAGATTTTTATTTTTGGATTCAAGAAAAGAAATAGTATCATTGGATGTAAAGACAAATTATTCTAGTTTACTTTTTTCTTGTGTTAGCTTCTTACAATTGCGGGAAAAAAATCTTGATAAGAGAAATAAGAGATTAACTCATCATGTTAATGATTTTCCATGAGACAAATCTTGACTTCTTATTCATCATCGGAAGATTCCAAATCGTTATCCTCCTATGTGATGCAAGTATTTTTGGATTTTTCTGTAACTTTTTAAATTTCTTTTGATTTGTCTTTTTCGCTAGATGAGAGTTTGGTCTGATGTGTCATTTCTTTTCACATGGATAGCATGTGGGAGTGAATGAACCTTTCTCTTCATCTTTTTCTTTTTTCTCTTTTTGTTGTTTCACATGCCTTAAGAATCTTTTGAATTTTTTTACTGTAAGGTTCATATCACCATCAAAGTTGAAATCTTCCTCATCTATGGCAAAACCTCTTTAGTTTCATTTTGTGTTATTGCAATTTACCAATCTTCCGCAACTATGACAAACCTCTTTAGTTTCATTTTGTGTTATTGCAATTTACCAAAAAGAGTGTTTCTCCATGATTGCTAAATCATTAGATTCACAAATTACAATGACTTTAAGGTACCAACTACAATTTAGATATCTAAGAATTTTTATAATCAATTCCTCATTTTTGCCAAAATTCTCATATGACTCACAATATGGATAAACCATTTTGCATCTTATTTATGTTCTCTTTTTATGTTCTCTTTAGAATTTATTCCAAAATGTTCATACTCGTGAAGTCAATGTGTCCAACCTTGCCCTCTTCACCTCAATAGTTATTTCATGAATAATTTGGAAGCCCACATTTCTTTTATAATTCCCTAATAGTTTCAAATTTGAGTGATTTTTTAAAATTTTAATATGCAAAAAAAAAAAATCAACTAAAAAATTAAATATAAAAAATAATATTTTAAAAAATAACTATTTAAATCAAACTTTTATTTTAAACTTTTCTTCTGAAAAATTTTTTAAAACAAATATATGTAATACTTTTACAAGAACAAGTTGTGACTGAACCAAAGAGTCAGTTTGGTGGAAGAAATTGTGACATTAGTAACGTTGTTCTATCTTGGATTTATATTTGAAAGCAAAGTACGAAGCTGATGCTTTTACGGAAAATAAAAAACTCTACCTTTGGCGGATACTTCCCCGTGTTTGTTTTCACTATTCAGTGTGGTTTTCGAATGAATTAGTTTCTTACATGTTTAGGGTTTGCCATGCGCACTCTTTGCAACAAAAAGAAAAAAAGAATCATGCATCACCCACTTCTAGTGCTAGTAGATGTGATATTTAGTGCTAACAAAACACTAACTTTTTTCAATAATTACTTACTTTCAGGGTTAAATTCGCAAAAGTCCCATCATTTTTTAAATGGGTTCCACATAAATTAGTGAGACCAAGAATAATTTTAACCAATAAGTGGGCAAGTGTAGCGCTATTACTAATAATTTTGCTAAAATCCTAGTGGTATAACCAAATTATTTGTCAGGGTCAATGTAGTCCAACTCCCATATTCATTGAAGGTAATTCTAACCGCAATTTTTTACATATTTCCCGAACTTTGAAAAAGAGAATAAACAGCCATGCAGCTTGAACTTGAACGTTACTTCCTATCACATAAATGTCACAACCATGCAAATATACTGAGCTTCAGTCTCTTACTAAAAAATATAGATGTCAGAAGTTATAAACCATTATTCATGAAGCTGAATAAAACATTTCCAATCAAAATTTATAAGGGTGGATGTAGAGGAAACTAGACACTCAATACTTTAACGAGGTCAATGATCCTCAATCTTCTTCAAACCCTTCATGTCTGTTGTTTCAACTCTGCATCAAAATATCAGAATTATATGTAAATACTTTGGCTTAAATACATTTTTTAATCACTGATTAATTTAATTCAGGATTATGGTTCCTTAAGTTTGATGATGTGACATTATTTAGATTATTTTTCAGTTAACAACTTATTTCCATGTCACCGAAGTATGTGTTAATCTAAAACACAAACAACCTAATTTTGATGCAAGGAACTTTGTAGATGGATTTTTGCTTAACATGCATTTCATTTGGCACGTCATCAAAACTGAGCCCCAAATGCATAAAGGGAGAAAATGTCAAAATTTAAAAATGCCAAGACCAAAATCAAATTTTAAAAGGTTGACCAAATTAAAAAAATATAATAAGCTGACCAAAATGGTGAATAATACAAAATAGGGGATTAAAACTGTATGAAGAAATTGCATGAAAAAAGACAACATACTAAAATTACATAAAAGAATTTATTTCATTTATAGTTTTTCTAACCCCCTGCCCACAGAAAAAGTGTGACCGGCATGCAAGATGGTTAAGTTTCTATTCCAATATGGCAATACGTTAAACAATGTTACGCCAATATGTAGATCACATTGCAGCTAGAAAAACAATAATATCTGGTCCTATAGCCTTCTAACTGGTTCTTCTACTAGAGGCAACTAACAATAAAGTGGTAAACAAAAATAAATGAAGGATTCCCTTACTAGGTAAGGTCAGCACCACAGATTATTCTACGACGTTATCTAGTAAATCATGTCTAACGATATACCATTCAAATCTCAACCCTGCTCAATGATTTGACTTGTAATTTTTATTAATCTCCTTTTACTTTTAATTATTAAACTACTGATAAGCAGAAGTTATAGAACACCTGTGCCGAGTCCAATAGCAAAACTGACTCTAAAGCGCACATTATGGCAGGTATATTCTAGAAAGCAGAAGATGGGACCCGGAGAAGAGAATGAGAATTAGTTATTTACATGGAGGGCAATTCCTTGTGATTCTATTAGGGAATGAAACGGAAAAAGGAAGATAGGAGTGAGGATAGATTCATTCAGTCATTTGGTTAATTGTTGGAATAGGAAAGATACTCTCTGGATAGGAGCTCTTAGCTCTGGTTTACTGTTATTGCTTTTTGTATGAGCATTATGCTCATTTCTATCTAATAAAAATACACTTGCATTGATATCCATTTTTGTCAGTTCTGTCAGCTACCATATAAATGATTTATTCTCCTTACCAAGACTTGTCTATGTATGGCTTATGCGCATATATCCAAACCGCAAAAGATGAAATGTTACCATCTTATTCAGAGTAGCAGCTAACCACATTTTCTCTCTAGTACATTCATTAATAAATCTTTTTTGTGGTTGAGTAAACACAAACGAAACCTCAAATAAGGGAACAAACAGTAAAATGCAAGTGTTAAATGATTTAATAGTTTTTTCTTCACAGCAAAGGAAACGCAGAGTTGTAGTTGAGAAAGGAGACGAAACAGAACTGAAGATAGTTTAAAACTTACGTTGATCCGATCAGCAGAATCTTCTCAACTTTGGTGATCTCAGAATCAGTCTGGTTATCCTCAATAAATATTGTCAAGCTGGTGAAGTAATTAACATGAATTAGAATCTACTCCCACCAATTGAATAACAAAAATGGAAGGCACTATGAAAGTAGTAAAATAAAGAAAATAACATACCTGCGAACATTTTGAAATTTGACATACTTTAAAAGTACTGGTTTCCCCTATAAGAAAATTAATTAGAAAATTGTGACGTTAGATATTCCAAATATATTAGGAAAAAATATCAACAAGTGACTTTGGGCATAGTTAATGGACTTGGAAGAAGACTTATCGAGCAACAACCTTGAGGTTTTCTGAGGATAAAACAGCTGTGTCGCTTGGTGGATAGTCATTTACATTACTGTCATTGTATTAGGTCATTAATAAAAAAATCAGCAACCAATTGAATCACAGGACAAAAATGCTATGAGAACAAACAACACTATACCTGAATCCCATGTGCTCCTTGTTGGAAAAGAGCTTCACTGTCTTGGGGCCTAAAAAACAATATTGTACTCCAGTTACAATTATGTCAACAGAACTAAAACAAAAAACTGAAGGAAAATAGAGAGTGCAGTAGCCAATTGGTGAAGATAATATATGCAAACAGAAATAATATTTATGATGCATAAATACGGGTACGATACCCGGTGCGGGTACCGGATACAGCATTTTAATAAAAATCAAGGTACTGGTACGTCAATAGAAAATAAGAATCTGTCAATAAAATGTATTAATAGAAAACTAAATTGTTCAATTTACACGAAAACATCACAATAAAAGTTTAAATAATAAACAATTGTGTTAGGTTACCATAGCAAATAAACTAAAATACATAAACATATTATATTAATATATATGATAAAATCATAAATTTCCCTCGAAACAAAATAATTAAAAAACATAAGTATCACGAGTACCGTACGTGTGCCCGGTACTGGTAAGTCATCATTTTAGAAGTACCTGTGCTTCAGAAGCATATCTGGATTCTAAAATGGACTGAAATTTGAGGAACAAAAGGAAAGAAAACCTTAATTTGGTCCCTCAATTTGTAGGGTGCTTTAAGATTAGTCTTAGAAATTACTTCCCCCATCATATTAAAAATGTTGTTTAACTCTTTAAGGTAATGCAACTTACAAATATGAGTGCTAAAGTGACATTCATAGTAACTTTTCAAAGATAGATTTGATTTAAGTATCCAACTTTAAGAACTAACTAGATATTTGCTATCAGGTAGCAAAAACTGGAGTAAAATACAATAACCAACAAGTTACAATTCCACAAATATTTTGTCAATTTCTTAATTAATGGCGTTTCGCAATTTAGATATGTTCACTCGAGATCTACAAGTCGATCTAATTTGTGCAATCTTTTACAATTAACAATATAGTTTAGTTGTATAATGTGAATGATGAAGTGGTTACCTTCAACTTCAGGACCTATGATAACAATGGAATAAAGTTTAATAACTTGGGTGAAAGGAATATAAAGCAAAAGCTGCTCATCTGCATCACTTTCTAGATGCAAACCTTCATCTTCTCTATAACCCTAATTTTCATCAATCAAAATCACAGTAAGCAAGATAAAATCATAGCCAACATAATAAGGGTTTCTGCTTCTGAGCTCAATCATAGAAAAAAGAAACAGAACCTGTTTGATAGCATTGGGAAGAGAGTGAGTGGTGCTTTGATTGAGGCATTCAACACCGGTCCAATCTATGAAGTCTAAGAGATCAACCTAATCAAGAGAATAGGAACTAGGTTAGAAATTTTGTATCCAAAGTCGAATGAGAAAAACACGATGGAGATTATGAAAGTGATTAATAGGGTTTGAATCTTACTTGACCCTTGTGAATAGCGGTGGCGGATTCTCCAGACATTGCTGCTTATACGATTTGTGCGACGCAGAAAGAGAGAGATAGGAGAAGAAGGGGGAAGAGAATCAATATTAATGCCAACAAATGCACCAACCTAGAGCTTTATTATAAAATAAAATAAATAAACTAAATATTTACAATAATATAATGTCAAAAATACTTTTTAGATTCTTTAAATTATTTTAAAATATTAAGATAGTGTTTTAAGTTTTTTTTAATGTTTTGATCTTTTATGTTAACTAATGTTTGCGTCGTTGACCTTTTTAAAAATCTCCGTTACACTAAATTGCAAATTCAGAAATCATTTAAATTAGTTTTTCGCGCTGATCACGAAATTGCATCGTTGATCATTTAATTACATATTCATGATCAACGCGAAAAACTAGTTCAAATGGTATATGAGTTTACAATTTATTGTAACAAGAGATTTTTAAAAAAGTCAACGACGCAAACGTTACTTAACATAAATGACCAAAACGTTAAAAAAAAACTTAAATGACTAACTTGATATTTTAAAATAATTTAAAGGACTAAAACAATATTTGAATTTTTTTAAAAATAATCATATTTTTCAATTAAAATACCAATTAAACAAAGAAATCAAAAAAATTACCAAAATGGCTATGATTCCACATTGAGGCGCCATATGAAATGGCTGGCCTCCAACTAAGTCGCCATTTCATATGGCGTATGCTTTCAAAACTCAAACCTGAGTCGCCATATGGTATGGCGTGTCCCCTAAAATTCAAAACCTAGCCTCTAGAGGAGGCGTCATATGGTATGGCGCCTCAGTTATGCCCTTTTTTTATTTTATGTTATAATTTCATGAAGGGTAATTTCGCTTATGTGACCCGTACTATTTGAGTTTTCGATAAATAAGACTGCACACTTATCTTTTTTTTCACAACAATTATCACCAATAGACTGAACCCTTCATACTTTTCAAAGTTGTCTAGAATGTCTGCATTTCTAAACCAACGTTCATCGTCGTCATCATCATCGGAGGAATCTTTTCCAACGTTTCCTCTAATGAAAAGAAATGTCCTAGTTTACTTTTCAGCAACAAAGCCTCTGATGAAGGTCCTATTGTGAAACACGCAGACTTTGGAGCATTTGCATAGGGAACTGAACCGCTGGCTAGAAGGAGATATTGTTGTAGGTGAAAAGATCAGGAAAATTGAGAGGCTAGTTAAGGAGTCAGGAGAAACGAAGTTACTCGTGATTGGAGAAAAGTGAAAAATGATGTTGGTGTCCTTATGATGATGTTAACACCAAAGAAGATTACCTTGATGGTTGTAATATCCTAGACAAGTTGATACATTTACTGTTAATTGTAATCGTTTAAGTATGCTATCAATGGAATGAAATTTGTTGTTGATTTAAAGAGACACGGTTACATTAGAAACTATGTTCATGTGATTGATCCTACATTGGGACATTTTGTATGATTGTGTTCTGGTTGCCGGCATGAACTACATAACCTGACCATTTTGTTTACTGTATCCATCTCCGTTCGAATATGTGTGTTATTAGGGCGACCTTTTTTCTTTCTTCGCATCAAATCATTGTGCCAGACAATTTCGCCTTCGTATGGAGGTCAATAGTCCTCCTTTGCCTCTACCTGAAAGCTACTGCCATAGAAATTGCAGAGACTTATCACTTGGTGAACAGCAGAAAGATAGTTGGTTGGGTCCTGACGAGCCTTCGAACATGCTGTTATAACATGGGAGTAAGGCATACGAAATGCCTGAAACTTTCCACAGTCACACCAACTCCTATCCAGTTCCACTGGGTAACATCCCATAGGCCTCCCTTCATTGTGATCAATTGACTCTGCAACACTGAATCAACCTTTATTACGGTCAAATATTATGACCACGTGTGTGTTGGCTTTGGCAGCTTCGTCTTTCATGAATTTCATTGAGCTATTACTGTACAGCTGCCCAGAGTGTAATATTGAACCCCACTTTGTAAGTCTGTTATCAAAGAGTTCCCCGAGCCTAAAATATGTTTTCTGTACCAAGGCAGTTATCGGTAGGTTTCAGATTCCCTTGAAAACATAATTCATTGATTCAACGAGGTTAGTTGTCATGTGGCCTCATCGCACCCCATTTTTGTATGCCCTTATCCATTTCTCTTTATGAATATTATCAATCCATCTTAATGCATCTGCGTTTGTCATTCTGATCTCGTCACGGTAGTGTTTGAATGTGGGCTCTGTTAGTGCATACCCTGCGTTCACAACCTTCTTCCTGGGCGTTTTGTCTTTGATTTCCCGCATGAAGTTTTGGGCGATGTGTCTTAGGCAATACACATGCTTTGTGGAAGGATTCTGCCAACCGTTATCAAGATTCTTGTATGCACTCTCAATTGATGGATGTCTATCAGAGATCAAACATAAGTTAGGTTGGGGAGAAACATATAACCGGAGATTTTTTAGGAAAAAACTCTAACCCCCAGCAGTCTCCCCTTCAACTGGAGCGAAGGCTATTGGAAAAATATTGATGTTCTTGTCCTGTGCCACAACCATTGGCAGCGGCCCGCCTAACTATTGGGGTCAAATGCTTCAAAATTTATCTGATACACCGGGTCATCTCAACAAATACCTCTTCCACAGGTCAACACGCAAAGACCAAATACACCTCAACAACCTCGTGGTAGACCTCGACGACGCGCGAATCCTCCTCAATGTGGAATCTGTGGTCGTTTTGATAGAGCCGCTCATTGATTTTCCTTTTTTCATCTGTTGTATAATATTGAAGTTTTTCTATATTATAAATATTATGATTTATTATTCCTTTTAATTATTATTTTTTTCAAAATATTAAATAATATATAGAAAATAATGAACTGAGGCGTCATACCATATGGTACCTCCTCTGTGGGCTAGGGCTAGGATTTAAAGTCATACGCCATATAAAATGGCGACTCAGTTGGAGGCCAACTTGATAAGCCATTTCATATGGCGCCTCAATGTTGAATCATAGCCACTTTAGTAATTTTTTTTTATTTCTCTATTTAATTGATATTTTAATTGAAAAATATGGTTATTTAAAAAAAATTACAATATTTTTGTCTAATATAAATAAATAAAGCAATTGAAAGAATATTTTAAAAATTATATTATATTTAGATAATGGAACCATTATTGGAATCAATTTTTTTATGTAAAAGAAATGATACTAATTTTAATTTTAAAAATTTTAGATCAATGGATCTTTTCTTAAATTATTATTGATAAAATTGTGCACAACTTGTAATTAATAATTATAGATATTAATTTAAAATTAATACTTTTTATATATTAAGTTTAAAAAATATATTTATATTTCTATATTACAAGTTAAAAATTTATTGTTTTTCATCCCATACCAACCCTAATATAAAATTTTAACATAAGACACAAAATAATACTAGAATAAAACAATCTAATTACCTTAAAATTTTATATAAAATGAACTAATTAATTCTTCTAATTAGGTTAAACCGACTCAAATCGACACACCAAAATTGGTTTGATCAATTGGATACAACTGTTTATTAAAATTTCAAATTAAAAAGTTACACCACATGTCATATAAACATGTATCTAACCATCTAATCTTGTAAGTAACAACCAAACTATATTATTATTTTTACAAGAGAAGAGTTTTTTTAAAAAAAATTGGTGTCGTAGAGTTTTTGTAATTTATAAATTATTTGTTTGGTATTAAATTGATCACTTACTATGGTTTTGGCTATTTAAGTAAGGAAATAATAAGATTAAAATAACTAAAATGTCTCAATGATGTGGCAATCAATATCAATATGTTTCGTACGTTTATGTTCTGTTCATTTAAAGAAGGTTTTATTATAGGAAGTAAATGACTACTATGTTGTTTGAGTAAACAAAGGTTGGATTGTTAGACAAATGTTGGATTGTTAAACGTTATATTTAAGTCTTTGAAGAGGTAGTATAACTACTGGACTTCAAAAGTGTCGGTATCAAATGCCCTATATTATCTTTTTGAATTAGACTCGAAGACTATTGATTGCGTTTTTTATGAGATAAGGAAGGAGTCAAGGAACACTGAATAACATGTAATGGATATATGAGTGAGAGATAAGTAACCTAATTTGAATATGCAAAACAAACTAATTGACATTAGTGAAAGAAGATTAAAATAAGTATTTTGCAAGTGCACATTTGATGTTTCGAAGAATATGAATGAGAGTTTTGTAGTGGATTTATCTAGAATATGAGACATATTGCTTGACTTATGGTGAGATACATAAGCCTTCCAATGAGTCTAATATATTGAGATTTACCTACAAACAAAGGAGAATCATTGAAATTAAATTGTAAAGATATCATAAGGTGTAAAAATTGGTTTGGGAGATATTTGTCTTCTATCTTCTATGAATTCACATGTATACTTTCATTTAGTTGAGAATGATTCTCTTTTGAGATCTTGGAACCTCATGACACTACTACAAAAAGGATATACAACAACGTTCATGTTAGCACGTCCAAAGGATCCACCATAGTAGAATCTATTCAATTAGGTTTTTTTAAAGTCACTTTTCACCACGGTTGGAAGTTTGAACCGTGGTAAAAAGTGGCGCATGGTCATGAGTTCGAATCTTGTTGTCGTTGTTGTTCTACAACTGCATTTTTTTAATATTTTATTAAAAGACATACAACAACGGTTGTTTAATACAACTGTTGTTGTATGTAGCGCATGGTCATGAGTTCGAATCTTGTTGTTGTTGTTCTACTGCTGCATTTTTTATACTTTATAAAAGACATACAACAACGGTTGTTTAATACAATCATTGTTGTATGTAGAGTATTTAAAAACCTCTCAGGGTCATAGAGAAATATAAGTGTGTTTATTGAATTTCTTCACTTTCCTTAAACAATTCTTTGTCGTTCATTTAGTGAGTATCAACGCTCAAGAACCTATCATTAGTGATCCGCGTGAAACCTAAAACTTAGACGAACTTCCAACTTAGATGAACTTCATCTTCTACCTCCAAACTTCATCTTTCATTTACGACACTCTATTTCTCCATTAAACAATGTATTTTAAAATTTTGTGTAAATAATGTATTTTCAACCAAAAAAAATATTGTTACCTCAGTTTTCTTTATCATCGAGGTAATAGTTAATATAAAACTTCGATTTTATAGTAAAATCGAGTTAGTTAGTAAACATATTTTACTTTTAAAACACTCGTTAAACAGATTTTACCCTAATACTAAATTATACGAAGTCACCCCAAATAGAGAAAGTATTCACCACCGTCCATTTCTATCATGAGTTGCTACTACAGATTTTACAATGTATTTTTAATATTTTGTATAAACAATATAATTAAAAAAAACAACTTATTCACCTCGATTTTTCTTTTTGGCCGAAGGGATAGTTAAGCGTTTTTTTACTATTCGTCCTTAAACAAATATTTGTCGTCCATTTAATGTTTATCAACGCTTAAGAATCTGCCATTAGTGATCCGCATGAAATCTAAGGGACATCCGTTATAAAAGCATGTTGAATATTGAAAATCTAACATAAATGAGACATGAAGCACTTGAAACATAAAGACGTTTGAAAAAGTTCTCTAAGATAGATTTCAAGAGCAGAAAATTACTTGGGTTTAAGGTAGAGGCGATTGGTTGATCGTTGTCAGAGCAGCAACGACAGTTTTGTGCGCAATGGGGGATCAAATAGCTTTGGATCCAGCTATCACTTGGAGTCGTAAGAACTAGAGATTTGGAAATTCGAGAAGTCGAAATTTATATGATGCTTGATTAGATCGAATGCGATAGATCTTCGTGTTTGGTTTAATATGCTCTTGATTCTGTGACCTGAGGAGATTACGAACTAATGAGTCGGAGAACAATCGTGAAATTATAAAAATCATAGGAATCAAAAGTCGACTCTCACAGACAGTGTCATTGTTCCATTCATGAACCTAAAATAGAATGAGGATTAGAAGTGATGGTGAATCCGAGCTTCCACCACGGTGGAGATGTGGGGCCTACAAGGTTAGCACTCTGACGTTCAACTTAGCATGTGAAGAAGAAGAGTCAATACAAATTGTGTTTGAAACTTGTTGTCTCAATTTAGCGTCTTCTCTCTATATATAAAAAGAAGAAAATAACGATCTCATTATTTGTTAGGAGTGAGTTGCGGAAAGATGTTGGATGTAAACACAATTGAGAATCTTATTATCGCTATAAGGAATATGCTCGTATGCTAAGAAGATTATAAAAATATTACAACTCCCTCGGAATAGTCTATCGGCGTTGATATAGTCACATAGAATTTAGTAATTATGATTTTACAATATGAAATGTTACTATTTCAATTTTAATTTAATGTGTTCGGAAAAGCCTAGCAGACGGGACTATCAACTTCTTTCTATTACGATCTCGGCACCTTTTTTACTCCCTTACGAAAAATTTACCCCTATTTTAAAAAGGAAAGCTCCCAAGTTCAACATCTTAAAAAAGTGTATGACCAGATTGGAAGAATTCGTAATGGGCCAACTCACTCAACCATGATGCGCATGACAGAAGAGAGCGAGCACAAAATGGAGTTCTCATCTTGGATGAGGCTCACGTCAGGAAAGAATCTTTTTCAAGCTATATTGCAATGAAATGATGGTGCTATAAATGAATAGTTAATATATATATAAAAGGTAGGTGTAGATGAGTATATTAGTTTGTATACAAATTAAATATATCATATAGTATGATAGAATAGTCATCTTCTCTCAATAACCGAACCATGACTTTATTTCTATAGGCTAGACTATATATTTATTTTATACATAAATCACAAAAATCAAATAAATAACTCACAAAATTAAACTAATTCACATCAAACTTCCAATAATCATCAAGTTCAGCACAAAGACACAAACCATCTTTCCATACTAACAACTAGCTCCACATAACCATACCAGTCGAAATCAACAAAACAATGATCCAATGGAACCTTCCTCCAAAGATTGTTGAGCTTGCTGGGGTATACCAAATCAAACACATCATCAAATTTCAATCTTTACTTTATAATTAAGTGTTATGAATGACTCTTAAGTGAATAAAAAAAATCTTGAGAAAAAAACTGTAAAATGCAAAGTTTAGTCTCTCACCATCTCTGTCAAAACCTACGGTTGAATTTGAAACTCTAATTCCAAGGTTTGAACAATCAGATCCAAGAGTACCTTCAAAATTTATAAAGTCCACCAAGAAATTAAAGTATCTTTAGTAAAAAATATTCATGTTTTTTCAACATGATGTTACAAATGTCAAGATAATTAAATTAATAACAGTTTAATGATTCTTACATTCACTGTAACATGGGAAAACAGATACATCGAGAAGATTATAATAATTGCGTTTGCATTCACACATGTACATGAGTGTATGTGTCCTGTTCCTGGTGCATCTACCTTCTCCACAATATGCCCAATAGCAAGCTACAAAAATTATTATTTCAAGCTCAAAATATATCATAGTAAAATTTCTTTTATGTCAATACATATAACATTCTATTACTTACGATCGAAAGCCGAAATATTGTTAGGGATACTCTTCTCTCTAACCGGACTTGGTGCTTGCTGGCAACCATAATTCAGACTACCTGCAATATAAATATAGTTTTTATAAATTTGTCTGAATTGTCTGAAATATATGATATACGAGTGTGACGTTCAAAGTTTGTCAGAATTTACAAATATTAAAAATTTACATTCAGGAATGACACAAGGAAGAAAGCTCGTGGCATATAAATCATCATCTTCATCTTGAGTTCTCTTCCATCCGGATTCACATTCACAAGCGAAACTCAAAGGTAAACTTGTATTCACCACGCATCTTCCTTTCCCACAATCCACTTCTTCACAAACCCTATCTGCAATTAAATATTTAGATGATGTTATGAATTTATTCACAATCATGTAAAGTATCTATGCATATAAAAAATGAAATATAATGAACTTTTTTTCTTCTTTTCAAAACACACCAAGGAAATCATCATTAGGATCATCATTAGTATCTCCTTTGGTAACCAGAGGCAGAAGTAACAAGAGAATCATGGCTATAAGGCCCAACAACTTGGTAGAATCCATTTTTGGTTATGTAACAAATAGTAGAGACTTGGAAAATAAGAAGAAGAAGAAAAAGTATTATAACAGGATGTATGATTGAAAATAAATTTGAACGTGTCTTAATATATATAGTAAAAGCATGTTCTTTGTGGCCTGTTTTCAATGTTGGTCCCGTAGATTTTTCTTACACGTCTTCATTATTTTAATTGTGGAGTAATATTCAACATTTTAGCTTCTAGTTCATCCAGAGAACATAGCTTGTTTTTGTACAAATGTTTCTATTATAGCTTCTAGTCTTCCATGTTTGAAGTATTTCTGATAGTATGTGACATGCGTCTAAAATTGATTGAGTTTTAACATTCTCTTAAAGTGCCTCATGTAGTAAGTTAACCAGTAGTTTTAAAAAAGAAAGTATTTTGTACTCGGTCAAACTTCTCTAGAGCGAACAACCAAGTCCAGCAAATTACAAATAAATTAAGATATCAACCGATAATAATTTTTACACTTTAGAGTCAAATTCAATTGGACTATCACAATTAGTTAATATGATTTTTAATGGAATAAAAATATTTTTTCAATAAATTTTTTAATAAATGATAAATCTAGTTTGAAGTGGACCAACAGGCCGATCAAAATGATTGAACAATACGCTGCCACCTTAAAAGTGAGGGTGATATTTGTTAGAAAAAATTAATTCATGTGCATGTAATTAGTTGTATTTTTATATCAATCGGTTACCCACATTGTAAATTGACTAATAGAACTTACATCAATAAAGAGTAACTGACTTATATAATATGTCAATTGCTTACACTTGTAAGAAATTAATTAAAACTAAAATAGTGAGATAGTGCAATCGGTTCACATAATATGTCAATCAATTATACCTGAGAATTTTTATTTTTATTTGTTAGTTAATTGTACCTCATCATGTATTGTGTATATATACTCATTGGGTATATTATGAATAAAAGAGAATGTATGTTTTCACCCTCAATTATACTCTCTTTAATTCTCCTATTCTCTCCCTATCCACACTCAATCACTCAATTATTTCCACCAAACTTGTGGTTCCAAGTTTTAACATTTGACGTTAAGAGACTGGTTTGACCCATTAAACACCTAGCGTTCAATCATGGCTTATGTCTCCAATGAAGGAATTTATGAAAATATATCTATCCTTGATGTGAAGAACTATGACAAATGCTGCAAGCAAATGAAAGTGTTGTTTGGCTGTCAAAATGTTTTTGAAGTGATCAAGAATGATGTGAATCCTCTTGTTCAAGGTGTTACTCTAGAGTAAAGAGTGTCACATAAGGAAGAAAAGAAGAAATATTTCAAAACACTGTTTCTAATCCATCAATGAGTTGATACAAATAATTTCGAGAAAGTTGGTGATTGTGAATCATCGAAGCATTCCTGGAAAATCTTGGAAAAGGCATACGCAGGGAAGGTTGTAAGGTTACAAACTCATAAACGTCAACTTGAGTTGATTCAAATGGAGGAGAAGAAGGCCATCAACAATTTTACGGCAAGAATTACTCGGTTGGTGAACCAAGTAAAGGCGTGTGGAGAAACAACGAATAAGCAGTATGCTATTGCAAAAATCTTGCATTCTTTAACACCAAGATTTAACAATGTGGTGGTTGCGATTGAGGTATCGAAGGGTCTTGCGACTATGAAAAAAGAAGATTTTTATAGCTCTCTTGAAGTGCATGGCTAGAGAATGGAGAAAATGAATGTTGATAGAGCAAAGGCAGTGATCGCTTTGCAAGCCCGTTTCAATGAGAGAGACAAGAAGGCGAAGGGAAAATGGCCCATGAACAAAGGTAGAGGGAAATTTTAGAATTTTGATGGAAGAGAATCTCAAAGTTCAAAAAATTCAACATTTCAAAAGGGAAAAAACAATGGGAGTAGGGAGGGCTGCTGGATCAAACAACTCTAGAGGAGGCATTATTAGATATAGAGGACATAGAAGGATGGTTAACAAGAGCAGTGTGAAGTGCTATAATTTTCAAAAGCTTGGTTAATTTGCAAGAGAGCGCAATGCCAACAAGAAAGAACCTCAAGAAGATGAAGTTAAAGTTGCAAGAAAAATTTTTGATGATGAAAACACACTTTTGGTCATGATCATAAAATGAGAATCCAACAACAACAGTTGGAAAAATAGTGCAGAACCAAAGTGTAACCGATTGCAGTTTTATGCCAACTGGTTATATTCTAAAGAAAATGCAATGGTGTCTTTGAAGGAAGCAGTACAGTGCAACGATCAGTGGTATTTGGACACCGATTTTTCAATAAATTATAACAGAAGGGAATATTAGTTTGTTACAATCAATCGTGCCATGAAGAACAAAGTGAAGTTCACGGATGATACCACTTTAGTGGCGGAAGGGACCGATGATGTATCGCTCAAGAAAAATGATGGTAGACATTCTTTGATGAATAATGTAACGTATATTCCTGTAATCAAGTGTAATCTTCTAAGTATTGGTCAATTACTTGAGAAGTGTTACAATATTCATATGGAGAATAAGGTGATACACATTATGGATGCAAACAAGGTTTTGATCCTAAAGGCTCCTATGGCTCCCAATAAAACTTTCAAGGTTAAGGTTATGGAGCATAGATGTCTTGCTACATAGGCTTGTAGAGAATAATGGTTATGGAATTATAAGGACGGGGCATCTCAACTTTAGAGATCTCAATGCCTTGCAAAAGAACGAAATAGTGACGGGGTTGCCATTGATCAACATACCGACTTAAATTTGTGAAAAATGTGTGCATGTGAAGCAACATAAGGGAAAATTCAGCAAGGGTGCAGGTTGTAGAACCAAGTGTCACCTTGAGGTGGTGTATTTCGATGTGTGTGGACTAATGTAGTTGATTTGATTGGTGGAAATAGATATTTTGTCACGTTTGTTGATGATTATTAAAAAAAATCTATGTAGATACCTAATTAAGTGAAAAGACGAGGTAATCAAAGTGTTTAAGAAGTTCAAGTCCATGGTTGAAAGGCAAAGTGGCCACATACTCAAAGCTCTCAAAATGGATGGTGGAGACGAATATGTCTCAAATGACTTCGAGAGGTTTCGTGATCAAGAGAGCATAATACATAAGGTAGTACCACCCTATACATCACAACAAAATGGTGTTTTCAAAAGGAATAATCAATCTATTATGAATATGTGAGAAACATGTTGAAAGGGAAGAACTTAACGAAAGAATTATAAGGAGAAGCAATGTCCACAACTAAATATTTGTTGAATAGGTGTCCAAAAAAGAAGCTTGAGAAGATAACACCAGAAAAAGCCTGATTTGGGTTGAAACTAAACATGAGTCACTTGAGAGTGTTTAGCTTGGTGGTGTATTGATATGAGTCAGATCGACTTATAAAGAAGCTTGATGACAAGGGAGAGCATATGATACTTGTAGGTTATCACTCTACCGATGGTTACAAGTTTTATGATGCAACGAACAGAAGAACTGTGATCAATCGAGATGTCGTTTTCGAAAAAATTCAAGAAGTGCAGTATAGTGCAACCGGTTGGCGTAAAAGTGCAACCATTTACACTAGTGAAAAGTTTGTTTCTATAGTGCTAGAATGTGCAGAACCAGCCCCCGTTGAAGCCTGAATGGAAGAAAATGTGAGAAGATCAACAAGGCAAAAAGGTATGCCTGCAAGACTCCAAGAATGTGAGTTGTTCTAAGATAACGAGATCCATGATGGTGGTGACTTTGTTCATTTTGCACATATGGTCGAATCTGAACCCGTTAAAATGGAAGAGTGTTGAAAGTAAAATCGGTGGATAATAATGTTATCGTCTCCACATAGATTGTAGTGATATTGCTTGTTCTTTTATAGTTTAAAGAGTTTTAAGTAGGATTTTCAAAAGTTGTTTGTTTGGTATCATAAGTTGTCACAAGTTTTAGTAGCAAAGAGTAAATTCTAGAAAGATGTTTGTTTATCAAGACATATCAAGAATAGATTTCATCAACCTAACTTGCATATATTCTCTTAATCAAACATGTAAACTTGTTTCCAATTAATATAATCATGTACCCTCTCAATACCGTTTATGTCTAAAATGATTTTGTGAGTATTATTGTATCTATCACTAGATGATGTCTCAGGCTAACAATCAATACAATAATCTTTAAGATTGATACCAAGCAAATATCAACTCACAAATCTATGTTTAGAGTTTGTTCGTTGATAGATGAATATCTTAGATTAATTTTTGCAAAATCTATGTCTAGAGTGATTCAAAACAAATGTAGATCATAAAGAACAAAGATATTCACCATATATTAATCATCAACTTGTTCACATACAAACGATTAAAGAAAATACATACAAGATCAAGGAAGACTACATTACCCTTGATACAAAGGATTTAACTACCCATCACCGATAGCTTGCTTCACAAGGAATGATAGAAGATGAATGTGCATCCACAATGAAAAATCGATAATGGATGCAAATCTAGCTTCTATTTGATAAAAATCACTACTTGATGAAGAAATCAAGAACTTAGGGTTTTTTAGCTCAAGAGAAATATTTTAGTCTAAGAGTTCTAAGAATGTGTGAAAGAATGATCCCAATAAAGCAAATAAGTACAAAAGTATCTTTCACTTTCTGCACTAGCTCGCACAACGAGCTCCACTTTTAGTCACTTTAAGTGCCTCTAAACAATTAAACCACCCCAGCAAATTATCTGAGCTTGCACTGCGAGTTAAATCACCCAAACCTTGCTCTGTGACCACTAAGGCCAAAAGCTACTGCCATAATTTTTTCCATCTCACTTTCAATTCATGCTTGTGCTTGCACTGCGAGCCTGCTTTCCTCTCGCTGGCAGCTCGCACAGTGAGCCCTGGGATCAACACACCTACACAATAACACAAAAATCAAGAAATCCAAAGGTAATTGCAATTATATTGAGGATTCACACAATTTATTAAATTAATTCAATTGAAACACAATCAATGAGTTAAAAAATGCCAAGAAAGATGATCAAAAT